CATCTCTTTGGCATTTGAACAAGAAGAAACTCCTTTATATACATTAGGATCAATTGCACAACACAACATGTGCATAGCTTTTGTATTTTGTTGAGCTTTCTTCCGTTCTTGATCACTCCACTTCTTTGCCTTCTTTGTAGGAGAAGAATATCCTTTCTCAATCATCATCCAAGCTTCCATATCAAATGCTTGGATAAATATCATCATAAGCTTCTTCCAACGACGATAATTTGTTCCATTGAAGTTTGGAGGCACGTCAATTGGTCTGGATTCTTCCATAGAGAATGAACTGGAAGTGGACGCCATCTTTATCGATTTAACTCTTCCCGGATCTACTCAAGAGACTGTTAAACCTTTAAATGAGTCAAGCTCTGATGCCAATTGTTGAGTTAATCGATTGATGGAAATGGCCAAGAGGGGTGGTGAATTGGCAATTAAAATTTTGGTGGAAGCTTTTGCAGAAAATTGAAAATATTTGCACAACGATTTAGAGTGGTTCGACTTTCTCAACCAAAGTCTACGTCCACTACCTTAGCTATCCACACTAAGGATTTTCCAACAAATTCACTAATTTGTTCTTTCTTTTGAGGACAAAGAGTAACCTTACAACTCCCTCAAGAATTATACCCCAAATTCTTGAGCACAATCTTTTTCAAAGAGAAATACACAAATTTGCAAACTTACAAGGAAAACCTCACAAGATAAGATGTTTGCACAATTCTAGAACAAGAAAAGAACACAAAAAAATAATGACAAATGAACACAAATGGTGTTCTTGAAAGCAAAATGAATATTGAAAGGAAAATTGGCTTGATTTGCACAAACTTGGTGTTTGATGCTTTCTCTCTTGTTTCTCTATGATTTCTTGTTGATCAAAGGCTTCAAAACTTGTTTAAATACTCCCTCAATTGATTCTAAACGTTAGGGATGATTAGTGGAGTCAATGGAGCCGTTTAAGTGTGAAAACCATTAATAAAATAGCTTGGAGCGTGGGGGGAATCGGTACCCCCTTATAGGGAATCGGTTCCCTAAGTGTAAAATTCAAATATTTCGACAGTTGAATAGGGGGAATCGGTTCCCTATGGACAATCTGGAATTTTTGGCTTTGAAACGATTTGAAATACTATGTAAAATTGTTTTGAAATTATTTTAAGATTAAAACTTAATTTTACACTTGAGTAAGGATTAAAAATGACATTTGAAAGATTTGGAGTAATATTTTGATATTCGAATAATTATATCGAATATACTCGGAAAATATTTTGGAAAATCTTAAAATTCATTTAACTTAATTTGTTATATCGAAATATCAAAATGTTTTCAACACTATTGGAGAAATATAATCAAGGAATTGAGGCTCCTCTCCCGTAGTTAAATTGAAACCTTGCTTATAATAAAACTCTCAACTTTCATCATAACATCATCACTATTCATCATCCATGAATCTGGTGACTTCCTCTGATGGGGAAACTCTCTGCGATGCAGATACAATAGGAGGTGACGTAGGCATATGGCCATATGTATTTGTACTCATCTTCTTTTTCGGTGCCATGATGGTTTGTAAATAGATGAGAAAAATGAAGGAGAGGGTAACAAGGGTTTTAGACTCATGAAGAAGAAGAAGAAGGTAAAGTAAATTAGAGTAAATAACTTTTGTTAAAGAGGGGATAAAAAATTTAAAAATTAAAATTCTAAGGTGCATGGATAATGATAGATTTTAAATGGGCGGTTATGATTTGGTAAATTGGATTGTGAAAAAGAAAAAGGGGTAAATGGTGGACAGCTTATACTGAGTTTTACCGTAAAAATATTTTATTATTCTTGTATCACCATGGCTCTAGTAAAACGATGAATGTACACCATAATGTGAAGAGATATGCATCATGAAATAATTGATGAAGAGCGATCGAAAGTAAAATACCTATACAAAAAGAAATAATAAAAATAAGAACTTTAAAATAAATGTAAAAGTAATTGACTTATTCAAAAGAGCAAAAATATCAAAAAGAATGGGTTGCTTAGTGTGATTGAAGCAATGCTAAGGTTTTGTTGCTGGCAATAATGCTTTAAACGTTGCCCATTAAATTTAAATATGCTTTCATCCACTAAATTCTTTAGTTGTACTGCATCATGAGGGAAAACTTCAAGAACTATGAACGAGCCTGACTAACAAGAATGCAATTTCTTAGGGAATAGCTTTAGTCTCGAATTAAATAATAGTACTTGCTGTTATCTTTGTAAATGTGTGAACACTTATAGGAAATATTTCGGAACTCCTCCAACTCATTAAGGTCTAGCATTCATTGTTGGCCTGCATCATCTAGATCAAAGTTTAGCTTTTTTAATGCCCACATAGCTTTATGCTCTAGCTTCACAGGTAAATGACAAGTTTTTCCATAAAACCACGATAAAGGGACATCCCTAACGGAGTCTTGTAAGTGGTCCTATAAGCCCATAATGTTTTTTCAAGGCGTTGTGACCAATCTTTTCTATAAGGGTTCACCACCTTCGCAAGAATTTGCTTGATTTCTCAATTAGACACCTCAGCTTGACCATTAGACCGTGGATGATATGTTGTATCAATCTTATGCTTCACTCCATATATATTAAATGCTCTAGCAACCTGATTACCGATGAATTAGGACCCTTCATCACTGATAAAAGCACGAGGAGTTTCGCAACGAGTGAATTTTTTGTAAGAATTGTAGAATTGCTTTAGTGTTTCCGTTTGGAAAAGCTACAACTTCCACCTATTAGGATACATAATCTAAAGAAACTAGAATAAATAGGTTACCACAGGAAGATAGATAGGGACCCATAAAATCTAATCCCCAGACATCGAATACCTCGATCTCCAAAATAGGTTGCATTGACATTTCATTTCGCCTAGAGATATTCCCTGTTCGCTGGAAGCGATCATAATGCTTTACAAATTCATTGGTGTCTTTAAAAAGTGATGGCCAATAATATCCACATTAAAGCAGTTTTGTTGTTGTACACATACCACCAAAATGTCCTCTATACGAGCACTATGACAATGTTGTAAAATGTTTTGCTGTTCACATTGAGGAATACATCGCCGAATAAGTTGATCATTAAATTGCTTAAATAAATATGTCTCATCCCAATTGTATTGCTTTACGTCCCTAATAAATTTCTTTCGGCCTTGATAATTAAGATCAGGTGGCATGATCTTGTTAACTAGATAGTTGGCAAAATCAACATACAATGATAATGTTGTAGCAGCTAACAGACGCTTATCATGGAATTCATATGGAATTACTAAAATGCTGCCATCTTCGCTGCCATATTCTAGCCTAAATAAGTGACCATCCACTTGATTTTCAGATCACTTCTTATCTCGAATCTCAATATCAAATTCCTATAGTAAAAGCACTCATCAAATTAAACGAGTTTTGTATCATTCTTGGTAAATAAATGCTTCAGCACTGAGTGATTAGTATGGATAATAACTTGCGTACCCACTAGATATGAAAGAATTTTTTCAAAAGCAAACTCCACAACAAGTAACTCATTTTCAGTTGTGGTGTATTTAACCTAGGCTTCATTTAATGTCCTACTTGCATAATGTATCACATGAAACATTTTATATTTTTATTGAGCCAGTAATCTACAACAAAATCACTAGCATCATACATTACTTCAAAGGGCAACTTCCAATTTGGTGCTTTCATAACAGGGACATTTACAAGCTTCATCTTGATTGTCTCAAAAGATTTAAGCACCTCTTCATCAATGAAAAACTTCATGTTTTGCTCCAGCAATAGACACAATGGCTTTCCAATTCGAGATAAGTCTTTAATAAACCTTGTATAGAAACTAGCATTACCAAAGAAACTTCAAATTGCATTCAAAATAGTATGAGGTGGCAATTTTTCAATAACCTCCACTTTTTTTATCTACTTCAATTTTATGGAAGGAAATTCAGAGCCTTAGAACTATACATTCCGTGGCCATAAAGTGACATTTTACCCAATTCAAAACTAAATTGGTCTCCTCACATCTCCTCAAAACTGCAACCAAATTGTTCAAACACTTCTCAAAGTCTTTCCCAAAAACTGAAAAATCATACATAAAAACCTCAAGATAGTCTTCAATCGTATCAGATAAAACAAGCATCAAACAATGATAGAATGTTGCTAGAGCATTACATAACCCAAATGGCATTCTATGAAAAGCAAAGGTACCATACGAAAATATGAAAGTTATTTTCTCCTAGTCCTATGGAGCTATTAGAAATTTGATTGTAACCACTATAGCAATTAAAAAAATAAAAATATTACCAACATGTCGATCCAACATTTGGTCTATGAATGGTAATGGGAAGTGGTCTTTTCTCGTTGGTTTGTTAAGCTTCCTATTGTAAATACATATCCTTTAACTAGTATTATTTCTTATTTGCACTAATTCATTTTTATCATTGATTAATATGTTGTTGTGCATGTGGTATTTAGCTCTGCTGAGTATAATGTTGCTGCTGATACTTTTGGTGTTGTAGATTAACAACATTCTGACTTCTCCAAGAAAGATTAAGATGATTTCTAAAATTTGCAATGTATGTATTGCCAAAAGCATTATCATTCCTTTGATAATTTCATACATAATAAATAGACTCCAAATTTTGGGGGCATTCATCAAAATTATGGTCATCACCACAATATACACAAGAGATAAGAGATTCGACATTGATTTCGTACATTCCTCCTGGTTTGTGAAATTTCTTTACCATTTTAGTTAATGTTGAAATCTGATACGCCATAGAGTTGAAAGCTTCAGAGTCTACTGTTACAACATTACGTCGTCCAAAAGTATTGCACGTAATAGGATATTAACAATCATTAATGAAAATCCTTTCGATAATATCATATGCTTCATTGTATGCCTTATCCAACAATGCTCCATTTGCTGAAGCATCAACCACCATACGAGTGTGTATATTTAACCCATTATAAAACATCTCCATTTAAGTCCAGTGTGAGAATCTATGCATAGGACACTTCCATAGCAATTCTTTAAATCTTTCCCATGCTTCATACAAGGTTTCATCTTCCATCTTATTTAATAAAGTTAAATTGTTTCGAAGCTTAGAATTCATATTCGACAAGTTAGACCATAACAAGAATTTCTGTGCTTATTTATTCTAAGATGCTACAGCACCTAGTGGTAGTGAACTCAACCAAACCCGTGCTTTATCACGCATCAAATAAGGAAATAACTTCAACTTCAATGCCTTATCCAGAACATCTTGCTGAATAAAAAGAATCGCAAACCTCTATAAATGCTCTCAAATGAGCCCTAGGATCTTGGGCAACAGATCCTCCATACTGTCCCATAGATTGTAGCATTTGGAATATAACTGGTTTTAATTCAAAATTCACAACATTAATAACTGGCCTAACAATCATCCAACATCGGTACCACATGCTCATGAATAGGGCGATTACGATCATCCAAGTTCTAATATAGTTACCCAACTTCGATGCCAGCTAGAAACTTATCATTTTCTCCATTCTGTAGTAGGGGTAAAATACCATTCCCTCGTCCAACCATAGAAACTGCATGACAAGGTCTGCTAAAAATTGTTTCAATCTATGGGTCAAATGGCTCCAGTTCTTTGTTACTTCGGGGAATACACTAGTAAAAACATAAATTAAGAATACCTACAAAAGAAAAAAAATAAGTAAGCAAAATTAAGAAAACCCTAAATCAAACTGATGCTCACTAAAAATTACGCCTAAAAACTTGATGCTACATAAGATGCTATAGCATTAAGTGCAAGTATACATATTGCTGAAGTAATAAAGTGGTAGCGATTGATACTTTAGATGTCAAACCCACAGGGAACAAATTGTTATCATTAGAGTTTCCAAAAATAAGATGTGTCAAGTATAAGATATGCTAAAAATAGGATAATAAAATCAATAATTAAAACACCAGTTCATGCTACAGCAGTCCAGGAAGCAATTAGTCAGCTTTGAAATCAACAGATAAAATATTATGAACTTCAAAATCTCATGCAAACAATATACACTCAATCTATGCGATCAACATTGATTAAAACCTTTTGAACTATTTGAACCATTTTCATCAATTAAAGGCTCAAAATATTAACAACACTAATCCATTAGCTACATATTGTTCAACACACAATATGCTACCCATCAACACCAATGCTCACAAAGGTATACAACAAATCGAGTGAAACTATTTCTAGAATTAATTATAAATACTATATATTTAATTACAAGTATTGCTACTCACAATCATAAAGTACCAAGCTCATCAAATAAGTATCAAAGTAAACACAAAATAAGAAATTCACATCATCCAAAAAAAGTTTAAACATTTAAAGTTTTAACATAGAAAAAATGGTATTTTGGATAGCTATCAATCGTCACGTTTTTCGTTCTCAATTAACCCCATTTTATAGCTTGGATGAGAATTTTTATCTCCCAATAAAAGAGGTCCACATTTCAGGTGATATCCATCCAATTGACAACTACTCGAGCCAACTATCCCAATCCAAAAGGTTCTCCCAACCGTCTCGAGCTTAGACGACAGCTACAGTATCCGGTTGGTATTTATTACAGAGCTACGACATCAGTGAAACATTTTTCAACAACATAAATCAATTTTAGCATTTGACAACCTACAATGCTAATATTATGAAAAATGTATAATACTAAGTAAATTTAATCCTAAAATGCTCCTACACAAGCTTAAGTTCAAACTAAACCGAGGTGAAAAAGGCTACTAAATATAACTCTTTTATAGAGTTATCAGCTATCCACCATTTGTGCTCCTTGAATTTTTCATTGTCCACCTTAGCCATTGATAACATCCCATTCAATATCAACTCTTATCCCTCCACCCTTAAGTTTTAAATTTTAAAACCTTTTTCCCCTCTTTCACGTATGTCATTTACTTTCATTAACTTTACCTTTTCTTTACCTTCATCTTCTCTATGATTCTAAAATCTTTGTTAACCTTATTCTCCATTTTCATCGTCTAACTAACATATGCCATGGAACCTAAAAAGAAGGCGAGCATGAAGTTGTCTGGCTACATGTCTACCCTTCATCATGTAGTGCCTATGTTGCACGAAGTTTCACCGTCAGAGTAGGTTACCAGATTCATGGATGACAAACAACAATAGGGTTATGAAGACAAATTTTTTGGCTGATACTTTTACTATAAGAAAAGTTTCGATTTATCCACTATGGAGGAGCCTCAGATTTTTTATTACATTTCCGAAATGGTCGCGTAGTGAGGATGGGAGAAGTTATGTAATCATCCCGTCGAATTCAAAAACAAGTGGTGTGGGAGTTTTACAGTAATATGACTGATCAGACAAAGCGATTAGTTTTTTCCATGAAAAATTGTCCATTAGTAGGCAAGCCCATAAACACTTTATTTGGTATCGCTGGCGAGTTGTACGATCATTCGACATTTGTGGAAAATCTAACCAAGGAAGAATTGGAGCAAGTGGGAAGAGATGTTTGCCTACCTAGATGCTTTTGGATGAGATCAATGGTTGGAGTTCGAATCATTAAGCGACTTGATCTTCATCGAGATTCTAGGGTATGGTTTATCTTCCTTAGAGCTCGTTTAATGCCAACTATTCATTTTCACAATCACTAAGGATAGAATTTTACTTCTTCACTCTATTTTATCGGGGGGAAATCGATTATTTCTGCTGAAATGTTTTTCTTGTGACCAGAAGACATTAGGTTACTCATACTTTTCATCTTTAATCATTGTAGTGTGCTACTAAGAACAAGTAGTTGTATTGTCTTCTTATTAGATTATAGAAAACCGGAGGCCGATTACCCCCATTACTGTTAGGCGAACACTGTTGAAGAAAGGGTTAGATCGCAATGAAGTTCCTAGTGAGCCATCTATTCCTATTGCCACAGAACAACTTTCTCATGTGGATGACCAAACCTTGGAGGACTTGAGATGTCTATAGCATCTATTAGTGCTAAGCAAGATCAAATCATGGCATTGTTAAGCCATTCTCTTCAGAGTCAATCCCAAATGCACAGCACCCAAGTTTAGTATTAGGAGTATGCAAAGAAAAGGGATCTAGCGACAAAGACTATGTTTGCCAAGCTATTTAGTGAAGTTGAATGGATGTTCTCTACCTTTCTAGCACACATCTTGGAGAATTTTATGCAGTTAGCCATGTCTGATGCTGGTCATAAATTAGCTAGCACCGAGAGTGCTAATGCTACACAGTCGGATGGTGAAGAAGAAACAATGGCCATGGATACCAAGTCATTAGAAGGTGAAAAGGAAATAGAGGGTGATGAAAAAAGGGATAATGAAAAGGAGGAGGAATCAGAAAAATATACTAAAGTTCTGCCAATATATGATTATGTTCAGGAAGAAGAAGAGCATGTGAGCAGCTGCAAGAGAAGGGCACATATAGAATCAACTACCGCGAGTCCATCCGAGAGCACTCCTATTGCACATGTCACCGATGCTAATACACCAAAAGTTGAAACGAAGAAAAAGTTGGACGCTACAACATCCATAACTCCAGTCTCGGATGCTGATGTGGCAAAAGCCATATTAATGTCAACCAATCAAAAGAGGAAGAGCTCAATGAAGGAAAAAACAACAGCAAAGCGTCTCCGGCCAAATATTCTCAGCCCGCGTAAAAGCCCAAGGAAACCCACTTAGGGGAGTTTTTCTTCCCTTTCTCATTTTTAGTTTGTTTTTGTGTTATGTTCTTCTTGTTGTGTTTTTCATTTTTCATCCATTAGGAACAATGTATCCATTAGGTTTGGGGGGTTGTTGTTAGTTGAATGTTGCATTTAAGAAGGAAGTTTTGCATTTTAAATTGCATTGGTAATGCTATAGGATAATTTTGTAGAAATTAATGAAGTTGTTAAGGGAATTTTAGTGATGCCCAATGATGAAGATTAATTGATATGAAATGCTATAAGGAATATTGTAGAATCTTTTCGAAACTAGGATTCTTAAAAAAATTTACACTTAGGTGTGTGTTATGAATATTTAGAGAATTTAGAAATTTTTTAAGTTGTAAATCTCTCATATTTATTAGATGCTATAACAATGTTGCAGGGAAAAAAAGAGATAGAGACCTTAAGAAATAAGTTAGGTAATGTTGGTAATAGCTCCATCATAGCCTTAGGAACTAAGTTGGGTAATGATGATAATAGCTCCAACATAGTGGGAGAAATAAGTTAGAATTCCAACATTGGTGAGGGAAGTTTCTGTAGTATTGGATATCTTTAACAGAATATGTGCGAATTTTTATAAATTAGTTTAGTATTGATTGAATACACCTAAATTACACACACTGCACTCTGAGGATTCTAATTTTTGATGAGATGAAATTTCATTTCCTTATTTGAGAATACATCTATGCTTTAGCTGAGGGCTGAAAAAGAAACTTATCTACTTGGTTAATTTATTAAAGTTATTATGTGGCATTTATTTCATCCATGTTTTGCTTGAGGTCAAGCAAACACTTAGGTTTGAGTGTGTGATAACTCTCCAAATGAGTTATCTTTAGTATCCTTTTTCACTTAGGTCTAGTTTTAAATTGAGCATTTTTAGGAGCATTTTAGAATTATATTTTCTTAATTTTATACATTTTGCATATTAGGAACTTTGTGGGTTCTCAAGGGATAAATTTGATTTTTGTTGCTGTAAATTGTTACACTGATGTCGTAACATTGCAGGAAATGTTGAGCAAATGTTGTAGCAGTTGATAAAGCTCCAGAAGGTTAGGAAACTTTCTAGATGGGATAGTTAGCTTGGACAGCTGTCAATGGGCTGGATATCACCTGAAACGTGGAAAAATTTCATTGGAATATGAGAATTCTATTCAAGCTATAAATGGGAGGACTTGCGTGCCAAAAAGTGTGACAACTAGAAGCCATTTGAAAGTACCAATTTTCTACGTTAATTCTTCGTATGCCATGGAAGCTTAAGCCCCCTACCAGGGATTGCTACAACACAAGGAGAGCTCGATGAGTAGCATCGACAGTCAGCAAATCACCATTCGAGGCCTTTTATTGAGAGAGGGAGTGATTTGAATGTTTTAAACTCTTT